TCCTGTAAGAGCTACATATGGTTAATTTTAGTTAGCTTATATCAAAAGGCTTTAAAAGCTAAGCAAGCTAGCTAATGATTTCTATTATTGTATATCTAATTAACTATGAAACTAAAAGATCTAAGGTTTTTTATAGAGCTTTATTATTTATATGAATAGTGAAACATCTCCTTGAATTTTGTTTAAACTAAGTCATCCAAACCATCCCTTGAAAAAAGACAAAACAAAGTTATATAACCTTTAAAATTCAGCCTCTTATATATTAAAACCTAACTTTTCACTTTTAATAAACAACACCAGAAAAGATCCCTATTCAACTTCATTTCCTCTTCAAAACACATTAAATTACAAGTTTATAACCAAATTTTCTAGCCCTCATAAACAACACCAAACAATCAACATATTAAGAAAAACTTTAAAACGCATGGAGTAAACGCTGTAGTAGATTTTGTGGAATACTTTATTTTCACTATTCATTACTACAATGCAATGATTTTTTTTTTCCATCAGAGAAAAAGTGATAAGGTTATAAGCAACGGTATTTTGGTCTTTTTAGGTGACTATTCGTAATTAATTAATTGCAAGGGGGTATATGTGTCTTTCCAACTATTCTAAAAGAGTTAAATGACTTTAATGCCATTCAGATAAGTTTTTTTCTAAATTATAGACGAAGGTATTTAAGTATTTTTAATTGTTTAAATAAAAAATGACATTTTCCCTTAGAACATGAAAAAATAAAACATGGGTCCAATGATCTTTTGGCCATTTTAGTTTTTTTTTTAATTTCATATCATTAAGGGTAGATTAGTCTTTTTAAGTTAATTAATTGATCTTTAAATTGAAAAATCCTTATACATGTCAGCATTTAGGAGGCATTCATCTTTTTTGAACGATGCATGTGATGCCTCTTAATAACCAAACTCGTGCTTTCATTGTGTCGTTTGAAACACCATCACGTCCTTCTTTTTTTTGTGATGCACATGTCCATCTAAGTGTGACGGTTTGTCCCCAAGAGCGTTTCTTTTTTTTTTCCTCTCTCTCTCTCTCGCTTTATTTTCTTTTTCCTCACCAAACAAATATAGTTTAGTTCTATTTATTTTTGGTATTTCAATTTCAATTCTTATTCTTTTGATTTTTAGATTTTATTTCTTGAACTTTTTGTACAAGTTTTATTTATTTTTTATTTAGTCATTCATTTTCAATTAAGTACTTATTCTTTTGCTTTCTATTTTGTTTCTTGGTTGTTTTATAAAAGTTTATGATTTTCAATTTCATTCTTTAATCCAAGTTTATGAGGTATTGTTTTCTTCAATTTGATCCTCATTCTTTATATTTTTATTCTTTTTTAAAGTTATTTTTCTTTTCAATTTAACCCTCCAATCAAAATTCTAGTCCACCCTCTAATTTATTTGTTTTTAATTTTCACCTTCATTCTTTTAATTAATATTTTTTATCCAAGATCCTTTTATTAATTGATTTTCCTCCAATTTTATCCTTCAATGTTTGATTTGTTAAGGATATGGTTTCACATTTTCTTCAGTATGGTGTTTGTGATCTAATAACTGGAGTCATATATTTGAAAAATTAACACGGGCCGACATTTTTTTTTATTTCATCATTTGACATTATTTAAAAAAAAAAACAATATTAGCTTTGTGTTTTTCTTCAATTTCTTTTCTATTGTATTATCTTGATTTCATTATGTAAGTCATAGGTTTCGCAAGCTAACTTGGGTTGACCTGCTCTTTACTATTCAAAGTATATATTTATAACGCTACTTTAAGTTGACTCGTCCTGTTTTTTTTTTCTTTTTTTATCCAATTTCATTCTTTTAAAGATTTTTTCCTCATGTTATCGTGATGGCTTTTTCACATTTATTTACATGCATGATTCTCGATTTATTTAATTAGATGCTTGCATAAGTATTTTGATTCACACTTAGAAACTTTTATGTTAAAAAATACATCGGAAAAGCCTACATATCCAATTTTTATATGAAAAAATATTATACAACCCTTGAGAGAGCATTGGTCAAATAACTAGTACAAAAGAAATTTTTAATTTCAACTTTAACTTCAACTCCTTTTAAAAACCCTAAATTCCTTATATGCCTGCCATTTTCACTCAATAACCACAAAATAACACTAACCCACTTTAATTTTCATTCAATTCAATTTAGATTCAAATCCAAGATCATAACTTCCCCAACTTCAAAACATTATCAAATACCAAAAAAATAAAAATAAATAGAAACTTTAAAAACTGACATTCATCGCAACAACGATATTGAACTAAATTAATCTACAATAAATAAAACAAAACATCCATGGCCAATTTGGCTTATAATTCATGTAGCAAACCCTAGAATAAAGTCGAAGAGAAACTAGGGTTAGGGTTTTGAAACAAAACACAAAAACAAAAAATATAATGATTAAATAAGAGAAAAATCAATTAAAAAACCCCAAAAAATAGCCCACAAAAAAGGTTTTAAAGAAAAGAAAAGGAGAAAAAAGAGGAAGGGTTTAAAAAAATTGATGGAAGAAATGATGTTTTTTAAGAAATTATTTGATGAGCAATCCATCTCTCAAAACCCTAGCCCTCCTCTTTTAAAACCATTAACAATGCCTATCAATAGTAAATACTTACCCAATTGTTATCTCAAACCTCCATTTCAGGAAGTTTTTATAAAGAAAACTAGACTCTAAAAATTATGTATTTTAAATGATATATTTTAATCTTAATTGATAATAATTCAATAACTATTATAGAGAAAAATAGACTCTACCATCTCATCTATATATGTTTTTTATGTTAAATGTGGAATTTTTCTATATAAGGTTGAGAAATACATGTTTTAATGGATTTTGAATTAATGGTAGCACCACACGGTGATTGTGGAGGCATTTACAATGAATGTAAGTTGTTTTTATTTAGTATATGCTAGCCTATTTACTCCTACTACATTATAGAAGAGATCAGAAGTTGGTTTTTTAATATAAAAATATGTATCTATTGTTAAGGTGCTTTTTAGATTGAAGAATTTTTTATTATCATTATAAACAGACTCGTTGATGCATGTTTAATTAAATAAATCAATCAAATTAATAAATAAAATTTATAGGTTAGATTACATCACTCTGTTTTGATTTACAGAGGAAATTATTTTTGGTCTTTTTATCTAAAAGAAAAAAACAATAACACCTCATTTGCTTGCCTTATTCTCAAATACTAGATAGGTGGTTGAAAATTCAGGCAGGTTTTTTTGGATCTATAAATTCATTTCTCAACTTATTTTCATCTAAAAACACCTAATAAATATTTTTTTTATCATGTCAATAAACCAATCTTTCAATTCAACACACCCTAAATTGGTCTCAAAATACAAAATGAAATCAAGATAAAAGTCTAAGAACATCTTAATAGACTTCCTCTCATCGAATAAAAAATGTTGACATCAAAATCGATTTTTTTTATTGCTAAAATACAACCAACCAACAATTCTCTTCCTTAATATTTTCTAGCTAGATTCTCTATCCTCTCCTAAACTCTAGGGACTGAAAAAAGAACAAAATAAACGAAGAAGAAAGGAAAATAGATGGGTCAAAAAGCATTTCTTTACCGACTTTGACTCTGGCCATATGTTTTCCCCGTGGTTTACATTGTGGTCTTCTCTTATTTTATTTTATATTTTAAAAATAATTTAAAACTTGATTAGTAACAAAATAATTAAATTAAGTTGCTTCACTTTGGCATATACAACCATTAAAGAGGTCATTATAAAATTGGTTTGAGGTTTTTTGAACCTTAAAATTTATTTTCAGCATATTTTAGCTTAGCAACACCCAATTAACATCATTCTCATGTCAATAAACCATTCTCTCAACTCAAAACACTCATAAATTTGTTCAAAAATACAAAAAACAAAAAATATTATTTCTCAACATTTATCGATTTTTTCTAATGAGATGAAGGCCTAAATGGATCTTTTTTCATTGAATAAATTTTATTGGCATGAAAATCGGTTTTTTTTATTGTTAGATAATGGTTAACCGACAACTTTTTCTCCCTCCTTTCTCTCTCTTTCACTATTTTTTTTTGATAAATTTCTCTCTTATCTCTAAAAACCTAAAGATTGGAAAAGGAACAAAATGAATTGAAAAAAAAACACACAAAGAATAAGAAAAAAAAAATAATGATTCCAACCCAGTTCTTTTTTTGAGTATAGCAATTAATAACATCTTTAAATTCAAGATACACTCGACTTGTTTTTTTTTTTTTAATTTTTTTAAAAGATTATTATATTATTATAACCCATCATTATTTTGCTTTTTTAATAATATATATTTTTATTATCATATAATTAAATAAAAATTATTTATTAAAAAGTATTAAAAAAACAACTTTACCCCACCAAGATGTCATCATATTGGTATTTCTTTTTTAAAATAATACTTCATCATAATCAAGATTTTAATGAAATAAAAAATACATAAACAATATCTACATAATTTTTACATTTAAAAATAAGCGAACCAATTACCTAGCAAATCATTGATGCACGCATATGATGATTATTAGATAGGAAGAGTTCCCGCCGCGAGCCGCCTAGGGCCTCTGGATTTTTTTTGTTCAACAGGCCTTTCTATTTAATTTGAGGCCGTGATGGCAATAATTAAAAAACGATGTCAGTACACGAATTCTCCAGCACCTACGTTTAATGAGCTAGCGGATAAAACAGACACGAATATTGGATAGAATCCCACGTACGAGAGCAAGGAAGACAAGAGCGTGAACAAATTCTTAAAAGCACCAAGATTCTGTAGCAGAAGCTGCAGAACTAGCATTCAAAGCCTCCCTCGTAAATCCAAGGGAAAGGAAAACTCCACTCGAATATTAGCAGTGCAATGTGGAGCTAATAAATCGCAAACCATTGAAATGAAATCTTCAAAGACAAAATGCAGCAGCACACAGATGCAAGGCTCAAAATGAAACTGGGACACTACAGTGAAGTGCAAGAAGAGCTCCGCTGATATTGGAGAGGAAAAGTATATTTACATGGACACGGCGAAAAACTGGGTGTACTAAAAGAAAAATAATTAAATTAATATGATGCAAACCTGCAGCTTGGTATAAATATTACAAAACTTATCTTTTCATTTTCAAAAATCTCCACCATGCCTTTGTTGTCTTCATATTCAACTGGGAGGGAAGATGGGCAGAGAGTGTTGGGTGAATGAACTGTGGTCTTCACAAAAAAGACCAGTTTACAAAAGAGAAGGCAATGCAGTGGACAGTGTTCTCTTCAGCAGCAAGCACTTTCCATGAAATAGCTTGTTCATATGATACATTACGCCCCATTGTTGACATGCAGATTCCAGCAGGCAAGCATGCAAATCCCTGATCACAGAAGGACAAGTTTCCCCAATTAGGGTTTGTAAGTAATACAGTTTATGTTCCATTTTTTCCTAATGAAGGCAACCCGCAGACTAGCTGGGCCCAGTAACAACAGAAGACAATGCACAGAGAACATATTTACAGTAGCCAGGATCTCATTAATCAAACCAGCTACAACCATCCTCAACTACCATTTTTGCTTGGAAAATTTTGGGGAATACACACAACAAAAACACACATTATCTTAGAACGATCCAATCAAAAGAAAGAGGACAATAATGTCACAGATCTTTCCAGTGCCTTATAATGATGAGGGAAATTTTCATAAAGAACCTAACTTGAAGGCAAACACCCAACGTTTCTCAACACACAAGTCAAACAAGCGATCAGAAGGAATAAAACATATTTCCACGTAAGACTTGCCTGTTGCATTAACTTTGCGAAGTCTGTAAACAATGCCTTGCGTCCAGATTCATCAAATATCTTATCCAGTGTGATGTCTTGGAGAGCCACTAGAGTTGTCTCCAGCATGTCAAGTCCTGCCTGGTTAGCAAAGATGAACACTGGTAGTGCCTGCAACACCAAAAAAACACAGATAGATAATGAAAAAAATCTCTGATGTTATCTCAGATACTGAAGAACAGACACTGTCCTCAATAGTAGCATCGCTGGTCTGGTGTAGCATATGCAATTTTTAAGAGGCGCTTCAACTAAATATTTGACAGATAGATAATGTTATCTAAGTGGATGTAAATGTACCTCCAATGAACAGCATAAAATTGCATCCGGATGATGCCATAGATGTTTCAGGACAGAATCTCCACCCACAGAATCAGATCTCAGTAATTCTGCTCCTAAATGGTAACTGAAAAAAAAAAGATTAGAAAGTTCTATCAAGCTCAAAATATCATAGAAGCTGCATAACAAGATGCTTTGGCAAATTAATGAACAGTTATTCTACTCTAAAACACATAATAACAGTACATGGGACAACTTGATTATTATAGCTTCATTACTATTAATATTATTAATATAGTCACTAAACCATGATGAAACTTGAGGCAGGACTTGCCAATAACTTTGGCAGATCCAGTGAGCCAGTGTTAGAGCTTCAGGGGAGCCTGCAGATAGCTTTGGTCCCAAAGCTGGATTCAATCCTGATGGAGATATGGCCGTGGCAACCCTCTGGACAGATGAAATCACACTGCGGACATACTGACGGGCCATGGTGGCAACATTATCCTGTAGATTGCTCTCAAATGGGAACTGGAAAGCAATAGTCAACACTGATCGCAAATGACATGATGAACCATCCACTGAAGCATGGTTTGTTACCGGGCCCACTTCAAGACTTGATGTTAGATCCAGAGTGCGATTTGTGGTCAATGCCTCCTGCGCATCCTTCTGTATAACAACATCAACATATTGAAAAAAAATAGGATGCAACTTCCAGTAACGCCTCAAACCAACACGGTAAAATGCAACTGAGATATGTCTACTTTATAAGCAACTACTTAACAAAATGAAACTCTGGTCCAATGAGGCCAATGGAAAGGGAAAAAATCCACTCATACTCAACTGTTTTTGATTCCAGTGGAATGACGCGGAAACCAGAGGGTAGCAGTGGAGCATCATCCGGAAACATTTCATCAATTGGAGCAAAAACTAGTTCAGAACAGGCTCCAACAGCATTCTCATCAATTCCACTACATATCTGCCCAAAAAAAAGGAAACACCATTAAAGCATATGCAGCTGGTTCTTGCTAGTATATGCAGGCCTGATTAAAGAACATGATCAGGCTTCTCTCAGGCAGCCAAAAGTACAGCATAAAAAAAGTGCTAAAGAAATTTTCTGAATTCTGTAAAATAGTAAATAGGAACGAAACAAGAAATTGGTATCAACCCTGGTATAAACTAACACAGTAAAATTGTGAACCTAATAGGCTCATCAACCTGGTTACCATGCCCAAGTTGAACTGGTTGAGGTTAGCCGTGTCAAAAGAGGGGTGCATATTGCAACTGTAGAAGCCCCAAAACTCTTTAACACTCAATTAAACCAAAAAAAAACTGACTGCTATATGCTATAGAAAAGGAAAAGGTAAATAAATAGAAATGCTAAAAAATAGCACCTGTAGGAGATGAATGTCCCGTGAAACAAAAGCATCTTCTTGTGCAAAAGAATGGCCTTCAAGTCGAATAACTTCAAGCAACTGGACACAAGTTTCAGTTAGGAACAAAAGTACTTGAAGATACATGTTCGCATCACAAATGATTGCACTCATGTCAGTATACGGCCAAGTTAAGCAGGGCACAACATTTTTGTTTGGACAGAAGACTCGCCCACTAAAGCATGATAATGTTCTGAAATCCCTTGAGAGGACTAGAGTGCGAGGTCATGAAAAAAGAAGCAACCATGGACACAAAGAAAATGCTCAGTAATCATCATGATTCACAACACATGATTGCACTCATGGCAGTACATGGCCAAGTTAAGCAGGGCACAACATTTTTGTTTGGACAGAAGACTAGCCCACTAAAGCATGATAATACTTTGAAATCCCTTGATTGGACTAGGGTGCGAGGTCATGAAAAAGGAAGCAGCCATGGACACAAAGCAAATGCTCAGTAATCATCGTGGCAATCTGAATACTGAATACGGAGAAGCTCATGAAAAGGGAAACCCACAGAGCACCAAAATAAAATATGGATTGGGATATCACATCTCATTTTTAAGAAATTACATAATCCTTTTGGTTCCATTTACCAGCAATGTTGCAATAATGAGCATGAAACAATTGCCAACAGAAAACATACCTCTTCTTGTTCAATTGTGTGGCCCAATGGCATGATGATTTGGCTCCCGGTAAACCTCATGGATCTCATCCCTGGATATGCATATGAACCAGCTTTCAATGATGCAGCAGAATAGGCATCAACACTGAAATCAGCCCACTCAGAGCGATGCTCCCTTAGGAAGCGGACCAGCACAGCTGGAGGCACATTCTAGCAGGTAAAAAGAAAGAGAAATCAGTTTTATCCAAAGACATGTTGCACTAAATTCTTTCTTTTAATCATACACAAGTGCTAACGTTACGTTTGGCACGCGGCAAAGGAGGTGAAAAGTTACCCCCTTTAGTAATGTTTGGTATGATTTTGGGGAGGGAGGAAAGTTTCTTGGGGGGTAAAATTGACCCCAAAAAAGAAGGTTAATGTTAGCCTTGTGGGGGGAAAGGTAAAGCAATTTTGGAGGAATAATCTGGTTTCTGTGCCTTTCCCTCCCTTTTTTGAATTTTATATTTATGTATTCTTTTTTTTCTTCCACTTCCTGTTTTGGACTGCAAATATCTATTATTTGATATTTTAATAATTATATTTTCATTTAAAATTTGATTTGATTTATATTGGGACCTACTATTACTCTTAATTTTTTCAACCCCTACCAAACATACTTTAACACTTACATCTTTTAACACTTTGCACACCCTCAACACTTACCCCTCCTAACATTTTCCCTCCGGATTTTTAACCCCATGCCACATGCAACCTAAGATTTCCACATTGTCTATAAACAGTACACCAACATTTGACATCTCTTGATGCCAAAAGGAAGAAATAACTATCAGTTTCTATATTACTCCCTGCCCCATTATTACTGCCCCCTTCATATAAAAACACAAAATTTAAGAAAATACCACTTGCTCATTAATTAGCGTTGACTCTAATATGTTGTTCCTTTTCTACTCCTAATCTAAATTATTATATTGTAAATTTAAAAGGGCATAATAGAAATTTAGTATTTGTAAAACGTTTGATTTTCAAATTGGCCAAATAAAATGGGACAACTAAAAAATGAAAAAGGGCCAATAATATTGGGACGGAGGGAGTATAATCAAGCCTCAAACAAGGAAATTTCAGACAAAGACTTTCCACATATAGCAAGAAAGATGAAAGGCCAGAGCATTCAGCGAATATCCTGTAAAGATTTCAGTTGTAATTTCAGATTCCACCGGCAAGCACAAATAGTCAGATCAAAGTAAATAAGCAGTCAAAAGTAGAGGGAAAAAATTAAATTGGTCAAAAAGTGCACTTTATTCAACATTCAACAACCACAATTAGCACACAAGATGAAAATGCAAATGAACAACTTGCTTATTCAGGGTTGGCTAGAATGCAAGAACATGAAGTTAACAATTACATGCTAAAGATTTCTTTATTATTTCTATGGGCCATAGAAAGTTTGTGATCACAGTTTCGAAACTTACTTGCAGTAGCATGGAAGCCTTTGCACAAAGAATCCCTCCTAAGAATGAAAGGGAATGAGCAGGATTATTAGCACTGATCAAATTCTTGGTTGTGTTAACAGCAATTATTACATCCTCAGCTCCATCAGAATTCATCAGTGACCAGCCATCATCATTAAACCCATTGATTGCATCATTGAAGCCTCTACGAGAAGTTGACACAGAACAGAAATACACAATTAAATCACATATACACACACACCTCAAAAGCTTAAATATACATTAGGTTGGCCCACATGAATGTCTTTGCAAGAACAACACTAAAATTTACAGACAGGGTCATATAACTACCTGCTTAATCTTTGGCTAAAGGTTCTCAACACAGCTGGCTGCCTGCCTAAACCATACACCACCTCGCCACTAGTTTCATGAGCTATTTGCCTGACATGGCGCAGCGCCTTGAAAGAAACCAGGTAATCAGTACAGTAGTGTTGAAACTGTCTTATCCATGAAAGTCACAACACCATATGCAGCAGACCAATAAATAATACTCCACATGGAAATGGTTTTATTTCAAGGATTCCAAACTTGTAAACATGCCAAAATAATGTCATAACAAGGTAGAAGCACATGCCCACATCAGGAAAAAAAAAGAAAGAAAGAAAAGGTTCCTAATTGTCAGCTTACAAAAGAATAGCGTGCAATTTCACAAGCATAAAAGGCATCTCAACCATATCGAACAATAATGTAAAACAGATGCAAATTATTGCATGCAGCAGCCAACACCAAAATAGATAGATAATGAACTGAACGAGGGAAAGTCCTCTCATAATAGAGGTAAAATGGGAAAAGATAGTTGATCCCTTGTAAAACAGCTTTATGAAAGATGGTAACATCAAGAACCTACTCACCATGATTGTCACTTTCTGTGCCACTGCTTTTGATGATTCATAAAGTGGCCGCAGCACCTCAGGCACACTCCATGCCTGTAAAAAATATGAAAGAGATTAACTCTGACTTATTAAGAGACACTTAATGGCAATTGTCAAAAACTGCACCTGAAGATTCAGATGATCCACGATGTGGATAATTGACCCTCCTCCTTCACATGGCCTTATCAAATAGCCACTAGGAAGCATTTCAGCCCTCACAAACTGAGCAGCTGCAGCTGCATTTGGTCCAGCACCAGAACCAGAAAGAGATCTCTCACACACCTTAACATAAGATACAAATGCAACATCTCATAAGGCCATTACAATTTAAAAATACAAGTGCAACATCTTGACACTAAAGCTGAATTGACAAGCATCGATTAGTCCATAAGAATCAGTTGAACTATAGAAGGCATACATACCACAAGACTGCCATTCTCTAAACTTATAGTGTATCTCAGAGTCCAGAAATCCCGCGCAGGAGCTAGCGTGGTCGGAGCATATATCTGAACCAACTTCAACTTTTAGCTGCTCTGGTAAAGAACATGAAGTCTAGAAGAAGAAAAAATAGACGAGTAAAGCCCGCGTTTATCCATTTCTGATTACCTGACTGTATAATAGTTCAATTGTTCCACCGTTTCCAGCAGGAAACACAGTGAAAACTTCAAGGTTCCGACAATCCCGGAACCAAGATTGACGATCTTTAAGGATCTCTGCAAGCTGTCATATTTTGACAAAAAATAGATCAAACAGCACATATATACCACATTAAAACAAGCAGTCAGTAATAAATGACAAGAAACATAAATTATTTACAAATATGAGTGTGCATACCTTTGTAGGTTCTAAACTTACAAGACCGCAGGCTCTAGCTGCCACTCCACTGCACCTTTGTGAAATGGCAAAGATCCCAACCGAATCCGGACCAGGCTGCCAGAGAATTTAAATGACTCATTCAGATGGGAAAAAAAGTGCTTACAAAAAACCTATCAACCGTTCCTACTGGTGGTATTGATGCATAAAAGAAAATAATCAATGAAAACAACCTTCATCCCAGGCATCTGGACCCAATCGACAGCAGTTCCTGTAGCCTTTGAAAGGAACTCTGCCAAGGTCTCCTCTGCCAATGAGAGGAGTCTGCCAAAAGAAAACAAGGAAAAAAGAAACATGATATTACTTATACAGCAATAGACACACATCCAGCCAAACACAATGCAAAACATGATGGAAAACAGATCCTGGTGAATGATTTACCCAGCAGGGTTATTGGCATCTCTGAGTGAATGCTGTGGAGTGGTAACCGCAGAGTCACAGCTCGCATCAGCCGCTGCAGGTGCCTGTACAAAATATCAAATTATGTGACTCGTGTCCAAACATGAAGAAAAGAAAGAAAAATACACAAGTGCTGAATCCAGAGATCTCAATTAGAGCTATCATTTATAAAACAGTAAACCATACTATTGGTGCTATAACTAATTAACGAAGTGATGCATGACCAAACACAGAAGACAGTGCAGCAAGAAAATAGATGAATATAACAAGTATAAAACCACTAGCTTGAATGAAGACAAAAACATGATGTTAATAAATTAAATGTAAATACTACTTTTTTCCTTTCCCTAGAAGCTGAATTTGTTTAGACTTCAGTGCTTGGGCCTCAGACTGCAACAATTATCACAGAATCAATGTAATCAACACACATCAAATGCATCTTCTACTCTGCAACATCCACAGCACGTGGCAAAACTGTCACAGTAGGAATCACCCAGAAGTGCATGCTTGAGTTACTCCGGGTCACTATGCCAAATTTATATCCCAAGATCACCCACAGTACTTCCCAATTTGGAATATGGATTATAAATAGAAGACCATGATCAGAAACTTACGGTTTGTAGTTGTTGCTGCATGAAACCATTTTCACACACCAGCTGTGACACCTGTTTTTGCAGGCGATCGTTCTCTTCCATCAACAGCTTATTCATTGCAGTCAATTTCCTGTTAACAGTCTGGAGTCTGGAGGACTCTTTTCTCTGCTTCTCTCGACACCTGCACCCCCAAACACCACCTTCTCTCAGTGCCCAAGAAACCCCTTCATACCCAAAAGAATTTTACACTGTGATTCTCTTTTTGTACATCCCAAATTCAACTAATCAAAAACCCATATTGGAGTAAACCACGTACACTAATGCATTTCCTATGAATAGAAAGTACATAAACCCGGTGTGAAATCATGACCCGATACAGAAAAGCTTGCATTAGTAGAAAAAGGAAGAGACTAGCAAAACAAACAAAATTCAGGAAATTAAGCCCAAATGCAATAAGGATCTAGCCTCTCTCCCACCTAAAAAAAAAATAAAAGAAAGCGACGCCAGTACTCATTCATGTGAACTTAAATATTTATACAAAAAATATCAACGCATTTACTGTCAAAGTGTAAACCTTTTCATCAAAAATGTCATTAATCCAGTCCCTTAAGACCTGATCGCCTAAAAATTCAATAAAAACAAACAAAATGATTATAAGTAAATTTATTTTCTTTTATCTTAACCTGCGATTTTGAAACCAGACTTTGATCTGCTTGGGCTCGATATTAGCCAAAATGGGACACTCTCTGATCAACTGTTGCCTGCGCAAAGAGCTTGGTTTAGGGCACTCGGCGTAAACTCTTTCAAGAGCCTCCACTTGCTCTGATGTGTACCGCACATACTTTCCATTATCAGTAAGGTGCTTGTTTAAGCTCCCACTACTACTGCTCTCTCTGTGCTGAGGGGCCACCGCCATCGCCATTTCCACCACCAATTAAATAATCAAACACAGATATAAATAAAGGTGTCCGCTTTCTTTCCTGAGGAGCTTATCAGTTAAGATTCTTTAGTCCTCGTAATGTCCGTCTCTTACTCTTCGCAAGATACAAGAGATAAGAAAGGAAAAGACGAGTATAATTCGAGCTTTAAAAAGAAAAAAAGGGTTTGTAGATAGGCAAGTAAAGGCCAGAAGGGGTGGTTTTTTTATCTTCTTTTGCAGAGGTTAAAACTAATATAAATATGAAATGCTATAACAAGACAGAAGCTGTGTGTGTAATTTTGAGAGAAACCTCTACGCTATCAGTTTCAAGAATCTTTCAAGAAAAACCCAACTGCTGCTTTTGAGCTAAAACCAAAACCAGGAGCCTTAAAAGAGAGAGAGAGAAAAACAAGCTTTAGGTTATCCCTATCTCTCTTGATCTAAAATCTAAAAGAAAACAGAAACCCAGTTCAGTATCACAAGAAATTTCACAAACAAGCTTTAGTGCAAGAGAGAAATCTAGAAGCAAGGGCTCTCCCAAGAAAGAGAGCCAGTGGGTGTGACATTAGAGAGCTGCTGCTGCTGCTGCTTCTATGGAAAATTAAAGAAATGAAGAATGCAACCCAAACCATGAGCACAAAAGCATTTTAGAGTAGAGAGAGAATGCGCGTGTGACAGTGAGTGATCTAAGTCCGAGCTTGAAACAGTGAGGGAGGTAAAGAAAAGAAAAGGTGACAGAGGAGAGAGGAGAGCAGTTTGATTTTGCACGCATCCCGACAAATTACTTAGACCGTGGTTGTGTAGTGTAGTGAGAGGATTGGTTTCTTTCTTTTCTTTATAATTTCGGTCGGCGCATTGACGCCCCTCTCCCTATTCCTTGTCTGAAATGACATGTTTAGACTCGGAGCCAGCCAGAGAGATGGCAGCACCTACCTCCCTCCCGCTCCCTTTCCCACTGCTGTTTTTGTTTAGAAGCCTCTTCTTTACAAAAATAAAACAAAAAACTTTCATTCTCGCGTGCAAGTTGACCCGACTCGAAGGAATTTTCACCATGCACGCTAATTTTTTTTATTTGACGCGGGTCAAATATTTTTTTTAAAAAAATATTATATAAATAAATTTTTTTATATATTTTTATAATTAAAAAATTTATAAATATATATAACCAAATAAATCGATGAACATATACATTAATAAATGAAAGTCATAAATAATAACTACAAATAAAATAAAAAAATAAAAAATAATTGTAGATTAAAGTATTTAATATCTTAAAACGAGATATTTAGCCGGTTGTATTTACTAAATTTATTTATTAAAATATTTTTTATACAAAATAATAGTAGAAATATACACATATATTAAATTGATTGAATAAAATAAAAAAAATATCTTACAAGACCACACATATTATAAATATTATTTGAAAATAAATATTTTTATAAAAAAAAAATAAAGTTCATCCAAGATTAAAAAACTATAGATAAATTAAAAATACCTCTTTGAAAAATTAAATGCATACAAAATAATAAAATACAAAATAATAAAAAACCAAACGTCATTTAAAAAATTCTCTCTAAAAAAAAAACCAACCGTCATTTAAAAAATTCTCTCTAAAAAAATAAAACAGGGAATGGATATTAATCTAAATATAAATGAATTTTTTAAAAGTTTTAATTTAAAAAAATAGAAAAAATATTTTTAAAAAAAAATGTCAGTCGCTACTAGGCCTAGCAAGCCAAGTCAAGCCAGCCAGCCCACTTGACTCATTTCGTTAGGGCCATTTATGTTAATGTAGCTTGGGCGAACGACATGTTACCTGCTGTTATTTTTAAAACAAAACATTTAGACGATCATTGTCTGTATTGCCAAGTTTCTTGCCACGTGGTAGCTAAAAAACTAGAGTTGATTGTTTTCTCATCTTAAAAGCCCAATTTTCTACCCAAAATATCACAGGCAACATGATCAACCCATTTATGGCCTAAAAAATATGAAAAATCATTTCAAAACTTGAAATTAACCTGAAATAAAAAATCTTTTCAAGATCAGATATATTTTTCTTTGCAACTTCAAGGTAAAAAACCTCTAATGTTAGCTCCTCTCGTTAAAAGGAACAATTTGGTCTAATGAGGGCTAAGTAAAAAAAAAGAAAAGAAAAGGGGCGAACAAAATGGCACTGTGAATAGTCTATTCACGATGTCATGTGAGGGGATTTACAATGCATTTTGCACAATGAATGCCCCAAGTGTTTTATTTTTGTAGTTAATATTTTATTATGAATTTATTGTTTAGATTTTTTTGTTTTTTAATTTGTTCTTAAAACTTTTTTTATGTGCAATTGCATCCCTTTTAGGCCGAATTAAATGATAATTTGATCAAATTTGTTGACTAAGGACAAATTTGAAAGATGAGGACCAAAGTAGAAAAGGCACCACAAATGGGTGATGGTTGTTGTTATCCACTTTTGACCCCATAAAAAATCAAGAAACAATAGAAAAGGAAAATCCAAAATCAAGAGGATATACATGAAGAAAGCCTAGAAGAATGTCTAAGTTAGTGGTAAAGGACCAAGATGACAAGTGAACAAATTTGATTACCAAGATGTATAAGATTGGCAAAACTAGCAACCCAATTCTGATTGACAAAGGGTTTTATTATTGAAAATATTTTTATTTAGGGGTAAAGAAATACAAATTTGGATAGGTAAGGACTCAATGAGAATTTTAAAAGGCTTAATTAATCTTATTGACAACTTGATAGGAGAAAAAATCAGTTTTTTTAGTCAATTTAGGAGTTAATTGGAATAAATTAAAGTTTAGGGACTTAATTGGTTTTTTAGGAGGTTGTGAACAAATTTGATTACCAAGATGTATAAGATTGGCAAAACTAGCAACCCAATTCTGATTGACAAAGGGTTTTATTATTGAAAATATTTTTATTTAGGGGTAAAGAAATACAAATTTGGATAGGTAAGGACTCAATGAGAATTTTAAAAGGCTTAATTAATCTTATTGACAACTTGATAGGAGAAAAAATCAGTTTTTTTAGTCAATTTAGGAGTTAATTGGAATAAATTAAAGTTTAGGGACTTAATTGGTTTTTTAGGAGGTTTAATTGGATGAATCAAGGTTTTAATTGTAATAATATTGAAGTTTGATGGGCAATTAGAGATTTGGTTGAATAAATCCAAAACTAAGGACCAAAATAAAAAATGTGTATAATTATAGGGGTTGAAATTGACCAAATCAAATGTTACATTGAAGAAAATTAAAAATCTAATGGTCACCTAAAGGTTCACGTGCATAAATCAGAAACTAAGGACTAAAATAAAAAAGGCATTGAACTTTGAGACTGATAATTGAGTTTGGCAAAGATGAAATTATATGAAATTAAGAGTTTAGGAGGTAATTATAGATGTAATTAAAAGCAGTCAGAAAAACATGAGCTAAAGTAAAAATTTTCAAATCCCAAATTAAAAACCCTAATTTTTAGGGTTTGACCTAGATGATGCGTCATTTGACCACTATTTTGAGACTGGTGATTGAGTTTAGCAAGGATGGAATTACATGAAATTAAAAATTTAGAAGACAATTACGAGTGCAATTAAAAGGAATCAAAAAAACATGAAGTAAAGTAAAAATTTTCAAATCCCAAATTAAAAACCTTAATTTCTAGGGTTTAACCTAGGCATGCGTCGTTTAACCATTATTTTTCTTTTTTGACAGTTTTTGTTGATCGAGTAAACACTTTCCAGTGAATGAATATGGTGTTCCTAACTACTTTTAAGCTGTAACCACCACAATTCAACTGAGAACTCACCCCACCACTCTACAAATATAAGCTACTCTCATCAAATATTTATATCCTATTTTCTTCAATGAACTCAACAATATCTTATCCCTAATCAGTCATTACTGTATTTTTGAATTCTCGATTGATTGAGTTAGCATCTTTAAACAAATAAATGTGAAGCTACAAACCTCTAAATTGAGTAATAATGGATCCAATCGAAAGGTATGTTTATCATCTACCAAGTTCATATGGTCTCTGATTACGTTTACATCGAAGTTACTCCAACAGAGCCTTAAAATTGGTCAACTTAATCATTCTTGTCTGAGATAGCCATTTGTGCAAAACCACTCAACGTTTTTGTGAGTTCACACTTAAAAATTTCTAACGATTCCTATCAAGGGTCATAAATCTTTCATTCAAAATAAGAAGGTGAGAGATATATGTCTTTATCTCTACGCAAAAGAAAACCGCATAGGCAAAATTGTTACAAAACCAATGTCCCAAAAACATTAAAGGACAAAGGTTCCAACTATTAATATTTGTTTAAAACCCCTCTCATTTTGATCAAAGGGTCATGCTTTGATCAAACCATGTTTGAATCCATAAAAAACCCTAGCAAACCCTATAAATACCCCCTGGAAAATGAAGAAAAGGGAGATAAAAGAAAAATATAGAGAAACATACTGTGAAAAAAGTCATAATTTGAAGGTCCAAGAACTTAATATGGAAGGTTTAACAAGCTTTAGAAGGAAAAGATAGTGAAAAGAAAAGAAAGAAAGAAAAGAGAAGAAAAACAATAGTTCCTAACTAGCAAGCTTGGAAAAGGTATAATTATGTAAAAGTCAAAGGTGGAGTATATGTGGCATGCCTATTCATGATTTGTTGATGTTCAAACCTTTTTTAATGTTATTTGAGCTTATCTTGAATTTTTTTGTTTGATTTTGATGCTAGAATAATATAATGTTTTTCGGCAGAGTTTGTTTTATTTTTGTTCTTATTTTAAGCATGTTTTAGATTGCTCAAGCTTTCATTATGATTTTTGTCTTAGTTTTGGTTAATAATGTGTTAGAGAGGTTTGCACTAAAAGCATGATTCTTGGTTTAAATGCTTCTTTGATTATGTATTTTTATCCTAATAGTATTGTTGATGGTATATTTGAGGTATTTTGATTAATACTTGAATATATTTTGTAATAAAACAATATGTTGATTTTGTTTGTGGGTCAAAGATTTTAGAAGTATGTTGATCAATTTGATGTCTTTTAGTGCTAGTTCATGGTTCACACAAGTATATTTTGGTATATAAATGTTAAAAATATCAAGTTTTAAATCCAAATAGCATGAATATGTTTGTTGTTTAGCTTTGGTAGTTTTAAACTTCGAAACGAACTTTATGCATGCTATTGATAATTTAATGTTATTTGCTAGTTCTTTGGATTCAACTATGCTTAGTATTGGTAATGTGGTTTGTAAGGACCAAAAACAACATGTTTTGAAAGCTTGGGAGGTTAGTTCTTGGTTTAACAGTAGGCTAGGAATTTCTGGGTTGTTGGATTCAATTTCTTCATATTCTTGAGAATAACATTACTTTAGCTCTATGATTTGGATCAACTCTAATTGACACGACTAAAAGATTGATGTCTTCTCCCAAGTGCAGGAGTGTCGAAGTAAAAAATAACCCGGCAAGACCGGGGTCGAACCACAAGGAGGTTAATTGTACAAATTATAAATAACAATAATACAACAACAATAACAATAACAATAACAACAACAATAATAATAACAATAATAACAATAA